AACTCCAGAAGAATTTCAAAACGGATTGACTCTGTTCGCGTTTGATACGACTCCCGATTTGTGCGCTTCGGATCTACATTCTAGCGCTACGCAAAATTCGAATATTTCTTTGGAAGTGAAATTTTCGAGCGCACTAACATCGACAATTAACGTCATCCTTTATTCCGAATTCCAATCCGAAATTCATATCGATAAACTGCGGCAAGTGAGTTTGATCGAGTAATGCAGGATTGTTACATAAACGAGGCGACGTTAGTTCATAGCTGCGATCAAAACGCGTTGATAAAACTAAACGATGGCTTATACGTTCCGAAATCTTTACCTTTAAAACAAAATTCGTATTATGATGCTGAGCAAAGAAAAATTACCAATGTTCCTGAACCAACAGACGACACAGATGTCGTTCCAAAAGGTTTTTTAACCAAGAAAATTAAGCGTTTGAAAAAGCAAGTTTTATTGTTAGACGAAGAAAACAAACACTTTGATTGCAACGGTTATAAAGTAACAAATTTAGGTAACGCTGAAAATGACACGGACGCCATCACAGTTTTATATCTCCGTGATTATTTAGGTAAATTAGTTACTAGTACCGAAACCTTAGATTTTCGTTTTATGCTCATGGAAGGAGATTCGATAGCGTTAAAATGTGAATTTGCACAACACAAATTCTTTCTCGATGGAAAAATTAGGAAGTATCGGCTCAGATATGAAAACGTGCAGACAGGTATTAACAACCCCGGGTGTTATATCGTTTTTAGAAATGACGAAGAAGAAGAAGCTCCTGAAATACAACATTTTTTAAGCGAATCGGTCAGGGATGATGTAAATATCTCATTTAAAAGCGGGGATAAGGTATTGGGAAACCTTACTTATACAGATTTTCACGCAAAAACCAATGTAAGAGTGTCGTTAAAATTATACGTCGACTACATTGGCACCTTACGATGAATTCGAAACAACTCTTAAAATTGGCTACGCTCGACCCTATCATTTCTAAAAAATTTGCGGGCGTGTTTCCGTCAGATTCGCTACCGAAATATATCGATGGTCGCTGCTGTAAGTATTTTGTTGTTAATCTAGATCCGTCAACAATGAAGGGAAGTCATTGGGTCGCGATTGCCTTTTTGAATAAACGAACAGTTTTTTATTTCGACCCTTATGGTATTAAACCTTTTATGCCCGCGATCATAAATTTTATGAAACGCAATGCGAAAAGAATATTGCACAAAAAGCTCCAGATGCAATCTCGCAATAGTAAAAGATGCGGCGAATATTGTTTGTATTTCCTAAATAGAGTAAGCAGAAATAAAAAAATGACAAGGCTGAATTCCGAGCAGGTTACTCGGTTCGTGCGAAAAAATTTTCGCCAGTAGGGGGGTGTGTAAGAGATATGGAAGACGCTGTTGACGACATTTGGCAGTTTGTCCCTCCATTAAATATCAATATCTATAAATATAAATTATTCAAGCCTTCTATTTCATGGCATTTAGCGCGTAAAAAAAGCATAGACGTTGAATTTCTTAGTAAAAGAATCAGTAATATAACTCCTCATCCATTTCATACTATCGAAGTTATTTCCGTAAATAGAGGAGAAATTTTTAAATCTTGGAGGCCCCTTCCAATCGGGGTCAATGCCTTCTTGTGCTTAGGCAAAGAAAGATCTCTAACGTTCAGACACCGCCAAGAAAATTCCAGCTATTTAACGCACAAACTAGAATCGGGAAATATAATTATCCTCGAAACTCGTGACGATGCAGAGGTATGTGTCCCTAAAGCGAGTTTCCGCAACGGGTGTTCGAAAATTATTTGGTTTTCTTAAATGGGTAATTGTGATAACGCTCCTCCTCTGTGGCATAATAATAATGACAGTATCTCCCATTATGACAATTCCCAGCCCATCTTCTAATAGTACGGAAAGACCTATGGGTTGTGCAATCTCTAATGCGATTTTGAATCCTTGTTTGAACGGTACCCATTTAGGAAGACAGATCTACGCACATTTGTGCAATGACGTCATTGACATAAGACAATTTTATTTGTGGAAGGGACAGTTGAAGCCCGGTGAACGAAGCGTACAGCTGACTATTTCGGAATTCTCCTGCCTGTGTCATGTACGAGATATCTTGTATCGTTGATTTTGAAGCTTTTCCGCTAGAGAGCGGTATGCTACTTCGCCAACTCTCTTGGACGCACCTACACCGCGACCTCGGTGAAAGAATTGAAATATATAATCCCAATTATACATATTGTCATTTAAGTGAGAGGGACCAAAGAACAGTTAGATATTGCACGAAGAAAATTCACGGACTATTCATGTGTCAAAAACCAAGGAGAGAAGGCAATTGGATTTGCGACGTGGAAAAATATATTTTGGAATTATATTCAAATTTTGGAGGTACTTTCGCATATAAAGGCGGAAGTATTGAGAAAAATATTTTCGATAAATTAAATATTCCATCGATCGATCTTGAAAAAAAGTATAACGTACCCAAATCGAAAACAATAGGCGTGAATTGCAAATTGCACGCCGTATATATCGAACATTGTAGCTTCTGCGATGTGTGTTCGTATAAAAGCTTTCTTGAATCCCACTATTTGTGCAATAAAATGAATGAAATGCTTGTGTAGAGCTAAAAAAAGCTTCGTGCTAAATTTTTTTGGCGATGGGGTTGGCATTTCTTTCATGATAAAAAAAAAATCAAATTTAAAGCAAAAAAAAATAACAATAATAAATAAATAAAACCCCAATGAGTAATTTGGCTTTTTTACCTCCTGGGTCTACATGGAAATAAAAAGCTCAGAGTGCGATATGATGCTGGACAAAACGCTTCTCGCTCTTCCTCTGCTTCGAAATTATAAACTTTTTTTCAAATCTCATCGACGTGTAGAGCTCCGGAAATGCAAATCGAACGGCAAACCCACCCGAGTCGGATTAGTCTTCAACGCTAATGAAATAAAGGATCTATTTTATTATTTAGAATCACCTAAATTGAGAATTTTAAGAAGTGATTTTGAAATTATCATGATGAAGAAGGCTCGTGGAATTTATAAGACTATATTTTTACCTATTGAAGTTGCTGATATATTCTTCAAGTATTTGGATTTAATTATGTTTGTCATTTTTCCTCAAATAACTGCGGAAGAACTTATAAATGCTGCAAATAGCATATTTCCTGACAAGTATATTGATATATGTGTCAAATTATCTAGATTATTCAATTTAAAATTATATCCTAATTCTAATATTAAAAAAAAAACGACTTTTATATGAATCCCCATTTATTTGAAATAATAAAAAATCTTTAACTAATCTTCTTGTGTTTTTTTTTCTACACTAAAATACATGCATTGACGGTGTTTTTCATACAATTTTCAAATAACCCTAAACAAAATGTGGTATACATTTTTTTTACAAAATAAATAAACAAAAGATTATTCAATTTAAAATTATATCCTAATTCTAATATTAAAAAAAAAGACTTTTATATAAATCCCCATTTATTTGAAATAATAAAAAATCTTTACCTAATCTTTTTTTTCTTTCATTATACATTTGAAATAAATAGTTTTTGAAAAAACCTATTAAAATATTAAACTTTGTTTTCTTCTTCTTCCTCTTTAGTGCCAAAGTTAGATGGAAAAGCTTGGCCATTTAAAAATGTACACTTTTTTTTTTAAATATATATTTTTGACACACATTTCCATAAATATTATATCGTTATATCAGTTGGTAAAAGATATGACAGATTTAAAAATAAAAATGAGCACACAAACACTTTTTTTTTTTTTTCAACATGAACTTTATTACATTTTAGACTCAAAGAGAAAAAAGTGTGCACACAAACGGAGCATATTTACAAACGTTGGATTTCTAAGTTTGTCGTACTCCCGATGCGTTCCTTGAAAATCAAGCAGCATTCTTCTTTGATGATTTCGTCTAATTGAAATTGCTTCAGCTTTGAATATCTTTTTGGAAGAAATAGTGTCCGCTGAGAATCTTTTACTTCTATAACCGCCTTGACTGATGGACCGAAGCGGGTTTCAACTAGTTTGAGTTCTATCAGTTTATAACTGCCTAATTCCAGCTCATCAAATTTTATGAGAGGTGGATAAGAGGTAATACTGTTGAATGCCTCCATAATCTGACTGCAATTTGAGAAAATATCGGCCTATATATATATATGTATATATGACCCTGACATTACGTCATATACTTGTAACATGTTTCCAATAAAGAATGGTCACCTATGACATAGGAGGGCAATTAAAGTGAATTGGGAATCCTTAGGGCAATTAAAATGACGGCCAGCTATTTAACGCACATATAGGACATAGGCCAATTAAAGTGAATTGGGGATGCAACACATTTAAAAAAAAAAAGTTGTATTTAAAGTTTATTACGGGGAATCTCCAGACGTAAGCCAATTAGAGTGAATTATAATACACAAATTTTTTGAAGCGGGCTCTAATAGGACGTACGACAATTAAAGTGAATTGGGGATGCGCTTTACTAAACTACTTAGGCCTAACTTCGTGTCCCAATATTTCAAGATCCATATAAAAGGAAGAAATTATTTCTCCACCACTTGAAATTAGAATTAAAAATGAGGTGCACACCAAGCATAAAATATTTCTTTTAATTCGTGAAATTGAAAAAGTTAAAAATAACGTATACACTAAGCATAAAACGACGCATACCAACCATAAATTATTTCTTTTAACTCGCGAAATTGAAAAAGTTAAAAATAACGTATACGCTAAGCATAAAATATTTCTTATAATACGTGAAATTGAAAAAGTTAAAAATTAACGTATACACTAAGCACAAATTATTTCTTTTAACTCGTGAATTTAGAATTAAAATAAGGTACACACTAAAGCAATAAATATATTTCAATTCTTTTTTTTTTCTTTTAGGTGGAGACATAATTCCTATTCTCAGGGGCGGGCCTACTTTTCACAAAAATATATTTTTTTTATTTGTGATTTTCGGTAATTTCGAGCTCACGTTGGGCATCCAACCGTCGGTAGAGCATGAGACTCTTAATCTCAGGGTCGTGGGATCGAGCCCCACGTTGGGCACCAATGTTACGTCGTATTTGTACATGTCGAAATACGTTGTATTTCGAACTAATTAATAAACTAAACTCACCAGAACTTGCCACGGCGAACACACAAAAAATAAAAATACAATATACGAATAATATAAACACTCAAATGTTAACACACTTTCGAGTTTAGAAATTTCTTTGATATATCAAATCCTTCTATGCAAAGTTCAACCTCTGTATTATAATATGGTACCATGGGTAAATCTCAAAGTGGGTTAACAAAAGAAAATTTCTTAATACCACAAAATATTGGCTCAATTTTTATAATGATAAAGCGTATAATCATCACCTTTACGATTTTTGAATAACACACACGTACTTTATTCCAATATACTTTATGGGAATTTACAAATATGTTGGACCTTTAGATACCTGTCCAAATGCAAACACACCAAGGCATAATTCATACAAATACAGATTCGATTCTCAATGGGATGTGTACATTTAGCACATTGTTTTTTTTTTTACTACCATGGAATATACCATTGTATGTCTAGACTGGTATAAAACACAAAAAATATATATATACAAATTGATAAATGAAATACATATTAATTTTATTATAACTAAATCTCTCTATCTTTTGGCGTAAAAAGGGGGGGGGGGGTTTATATGCAAGATAGAAGGTCTAATATTAGTAAACGTTTCTCTACTTCTAATTCATTGAAATAAAAAAAGGAAATCTTCCATTTGCTATATATACTATATAGTAGAGATTGCAGCCAAAAAATATATATATAACCTATTAAATACTATATGTGTCTCCTATCCTATAAACGAGCCTTTTGGCCCACACAGAAATTTTTTTATAGGGTATAGTAAACTTACCATTTTTGCCTATTATTCTACTCACCATTCAAGGCCATTTTTCTCGACTCGATTTTTGACCTCCATTCCCATCGACTTTTTTGGTTCTAACTGACTAAAAAATTTGAAAATAGCGTCCCTCCAAAATTTTATCATCATCTTTTTACAGAGTAAAAAAAAAAATTTAATTTCGCTGAATATATTCGAAAATAAAAATAAAAAAATATTTTATGGAATAAATAATTCTAAATTTATAATAAAAAAATAATAAAATGTATCAGGTCGATTCCTTGAGATTTTAATTTAGTATTTCTCCTTAAAATATTTAATTAGTTTTATTTTTTGGAATAAAATAAATTTTAAAATTTCGGAGTGGTAATAAAAAAATTTAGACCTTTCATCTTACACATAAAGGAAGAGATTGGTTATAAACATATATTACATATGTGCATTCTGTACATTTCCATCTGGGCCTTTCTGCAGCGGACTTCGGGATACAAGCCCAGAGCTAATACAAGTTCTCCCTTCTTTAATCCTCCTCCTCGCTGTCCTTCTGTGGAGGGTTGGTCAGTTTGGAGAGGGTCAGTGCCATCTCCAACTGGGCGTCTTCCTCGGCTTTGGTCTTTGGAGCATCGTCGGCCATCTTCTCGGCCTTTCCTCGGTGGGGAATTCTCCATCTGGACAACAAGCACTTCGACGAGACACTGTACATATATGATGTAAAATGTTTACATCATAATTGGGTCTGTTTTGTGAAAATATGGCCCAACATAGCCTTTATTAAAATTTACATTTCTTTTTATTTTGCGACTAATATTAGGAGCTGTTCCTGATTCTTCATATGTAAATTCTTATTTATCCACCGAATCAGCTGTATCAAGATATAGCATAGACGGTGATGCATTAGTCCTTATATAATCAGGATTTTTATCAATTAAAAATCTAACTAGAGATGTTAATCCTGCTTCTCGAATATCTTCTTCATCTTTATCATTATAAAGACTTTTTGCCATTTTAAAAATATTGATAATATTATTATTAACAGTAATCTCGTCGTTTTCAGTGATAGCACTTCCATCTGATTTTACTATTTTAGCAGTAATCTTAACTAAATCTTTAGAAGGTCTATAATAATTACTTCTATCTTTATTAATAAAGGTTATGAGTTCATCAGTATTATTTTGTATAGGATTTTCAGGTAATCTTTTTATATATTCTTGATCAGTTGTAGAATTATCTTCATAGACAGGCTCTTTGAAATTCCAATAAGGGGCAACAATTTCTTTCGTCATTTATATAAGTTTAAAACCTTTACACTATAAAATCTTTTAAGTTTTCCATCATATTTTTTACCTGAACCATATAAAAACTCTTCTCTCATGTTTCTTTTTGGCTCATGTACTATATCATTTATTTTTTTCTGAGTAAGTTTTTTCAATATTTTTTCAACGATTGGTTTTCCAATTATATTTTTAAATATAGTTCCAATTCCTGAACCATAGAGTCGATAATACTTTTTTCTTACTCTCATTTATATAATTTCGAAACCAAGTGTAGCCCTTTCACCATTAAAATTCACTGCTTTACCTGATTGATCCGTTATTCTTATTCTCATTTCGCTTATAAAATCATTCTCATTAATATATAAATATGAAATGTGCCAAGGTGTTATATTGATTTGTTCACCAGGATCTACTTCGGGGGAAAACGAAAAGATTACATGTGATTGATTGCTATCTAAATAACTGCCTTTTACCAAACTATTATGAATTAAAAGACTATCAATACCGTTTGTTATATCTGGAGATAATGGAGCGATATGCTCCCCTTGTTTGTAAATATTTTCTCGACGTTGTTCAAATTTAGGAAATCCTAATTTTTATGAAAAATTCCCTCATTCAAATCAATTTCTGTTTCAACTATTAAAATTACTCTAGATTTTGGTTCATGATTACCCAATTTTATGGGTAAATCTTTGAATTCTTCATTTAAATTGTTAAAATTATATAGACCTTCAGGAATCACAAATTCTTTCCATTCAGAATTTGTAGGATCTTTATATTTTATTTTATTTTCTTTAGTTATATTATACCAAGAATATACCATCCTCTAAAACCAATTAAAGCAATTTTTGATCCTGCTTTAATAGGAGGATTATAATAAACTGTAAAATCGTGTGGTTGATCTGAACTCACGGTTATTAGCATTTATTTAATTTTAAATATTTATCGTATGCTTCTTTATGTATCTTTGCAGATATTTGTTTCTTCTTTTCCAAAATATCTAAAATTTCTAATGCTTCATTTTTTAGTTCTTTTGAATCATTTCCAGCTTCTATCTCGCCGTCTAAGATTTCGAGCCTATCAATCAATTCTTTTGGTTTATTATAACATTTTATTACGCCCATGCCCTCTAAATAGTTTATTTGTTTTATATCTATTATAGCGTTATGTTCTATTAACAATTTTACTAATTTATGGTAATATTTTAAGGTTTTGAATCTTTATAGGCCTCTTGTTTTATTTTTTTTTTGTCATTGGATCTCTTTTTTCCGCTTAAAGATTGAATCGTTGGTCCTATTGATTTATCTAATTCTTTTAATTCATTAATATCTTTCTGTTCTACTAATTCTTCAACATTTGGAAGATCATAATCTTTCAAGATATTTTTATCTATTTCTTTTTTATATCTAACAATTAAATAACTTTTTTTTCTATTTTCTTAGTTTGACTTCCTTCTTCTTTTACTAAAGGTGGTAAAGAAAGGAGAGGAGGTGGGGGTAATATTTGTTCCATTTTAGTTGTAATAGGCTTTAGAAAATTACTCATATTTTATTGTATATGTGATATATAGCTAGCAATAAATATGTATATATATATATGTTTCTATGAAAATGTTAATCTGCAAGACGCAGGTTATCATCATCCCTTTTTGATTTGTTTTTGTCACTTTTTGGCGTTCCGAAAATAAACAATAAAAGGCTGTATCAGACTTTACTAAGACAATAAAGATTTGCTAAAAATAAATGTGTACGAAGATGTTGCATTTGGCGACGAGGATATAAGAGTAAGTACCCTCGAATTTTGAAGTAAATATTTTTAGAAAATATCTTTGATTTTGCATATAATTGAAAGTAAATTTTAAAAGACACAAATTGCAAAGTTTTAGGATGCAAATTTAAGAAAGAGTGAAAAAGAATGGCTAGTTACCAATTTAAGGAATATAATGAGGAAACTGAAACTTTTGAAACGTTTTATGAACGATTGGAACAGTTTCTCATATTGGAGGAGGCAGGGGATGAGAAGAAAAAGGCTTATCTCCTAACCCTCATGAGAAGTAAAACATATGGTGTTTTGAAGAATTTGTGCAGTCCTATTCTACCTAAAGATAAAACTTTTGATAACCTAATAGATATCTTGAAAAGGCACTTCTCTCCAAAGCGCTCAATTGTAGTAGAGAGGTTCATTTTTTTAAAAGAATGCAATTAAAGGAAGAAAGCATCTCGGATTACTTGGTGGAAATTAAGCGTTTGGCTTCCTCATGCAACTTTGGAAATTTTCTGGAGGATTCTTTACGTGATAAAATGGTTTGTGGATTATATAATGCCAAAATACAAAATAGAATTTTGTCGGAGGGCGACATTTCTTTAGCTAAAGTAATTGAGATAGCATTATCTATGGAAGCGGCCGAGAAAAATACAAAATTATTTCACTTGGAGCAGGGTGAAGATTGTGTAGATAAGTTGAGGATGGAACGCAAGGTTGAATCAAATTTCCAGAATGGCAAATGTAAACATTGTGGTAAACAGCATAAAGAACTATGTAGATTTAAGGAGGCGATATGCTTTAAGTGTAATAAAAAAGGACACATTGCCTCAATATGTTGGAGCAGTAGAATAAATCTAAGGCAACATCAGAATCAGCCGGGAAATATACATCAGATAGGAGACCAAGAAGAGGAGGAAGAGTATGTCCAGAAAATTATAAGCGTGACGATACCTGAGTATAAAATTAATTTTGCCTCAAGTGACCCTCCCTATCTGATGGAGTTAAAAGTAGAAGGAAACTTTATTAAATTTGAAATGGATACGGGTAGTGGTCTAACACTGATATCAGAAAAGGATTTTAAAAATAGTCTTCAACACTTGAAATTGGAAAAAGCGAG